GTCGGTCTGTATGGGAGAATCTTGACCTCGGTCGCTGGTACAGACCTCACTGCATTCGGTCTGTACTGGCAACCGAGGTCAAGATTCTCCCATACAGACCTCCCGCTCTGTTAATAAGAACTAATTAATACTCGAAATCCTTCTATGGAAAGGGAAAAGATCTTTACTTGGCCACTTATTGCTTGGGATCTCAATTCAAACACGGGTCATTACAAATGCTTTCCAATTAAATGTCAAAACAATACCTACACAATTTGTGTCTGTTTATTTGATCAAGCATTGAAGAGAATAACATGAAACAAAATTACAAAGAAATAAGCAAACCCAGGCTCTTTTTAATATACTGACAGTCTGGTAGAGAAAATTCTGAATATTTACACTTTGTTCTAAAAGATGGAAGAGTGAAATGTAGAGTAAATTGAACAACAGCATTGCAACTGTCTTAGTTATGACATATTTACAAACATGTCTCATTTTACTGTTGAAAAAGTTACTCAGTATCTTTTGACCTACTTAACTGAAATGTATAACTTTGTTCACAATTTTAAATATACAGTTTTGGTAACCTTATATGAAATATTTGTACCAGGGTTATTCAGTTGGGAAATAAAAGCAACAAAAACACCTAGTATCTTATGTGAAACTTTACATAATAATTTCTACCAGAAACTCTGGTGTTTGGTCTTGTGACACAGCCTTCCTTACTTACTTTCCCCTGTCCTACACTAAACCCATTAGCCATGGATTGCTCATCATGAAAATGTTTAAATACCTTCAGCTTCATCTTTAGAAAAGGCCTAAATTCTATAAAGTTTAACACAGTTTAACAGTAATGATGATACCAATACTTAAACAACAAATAATAAAAGCAACAAAGATGATAACAATAACTATTATTATTATTATTACTATAATTGTTATTATTTTTGCTTTGTACAGGACTAAATTTTCTCAAAAACAGTAATGTTCATAATTTGGATTTCATCTTGTGAAGGAGCTGATTCTCCAGTCTCATAAATTTATGCATACTTCCTGTAATCTGGAGTTTTCCTCCCAAATATGCTTGTGCTGGATTAAGTTCACCAGTGAACAATTTAACAAAGTCCTCGGAGTCTAACATTATTGTACTGTTCACCTCATCTCCTGAAAAAGAACCTTTGCCGACCTCACCTGTCAATGAAAAACAAAGAAAAAGTGAACAAAGAGGAGACTACAACTAGAGCAACTATTGATTTGTTTTTTTTTTTGGCATAAAAGTCAAGGAAATAGATTAAAAAACATCTAAGGCTTTTGTCCAGAGCCTATTTAGCCATCAACTCCCAATTGTCTGATCTCATCTGTCCAGTGGGTTACAGGTAATTGCCTGTACTAAGGTTTTTATCACCATTTATGGCTTTGTGGTTGGAGAATAAATCTGTAAGTTATTCTTTTTTTATCATTTTGCTATCCTCTATCAGTCCTTTGTTTTCTTTTAATTTTGAATTTCCTTGGGCATTAGGGGTTGGCAGCCATAAGTTTGTTTGTAATTCTCTTATACCTTTGTTTTTTTTCCTTTGCTTTCCTTTGTTGGTTTATCACTTTATTCACTTGACATAATTTGTTGTCTTGTTTTCAAAAGTGTTATTTCCTGAGGCCATTATTTGTTGCCCACCCACTCTCTTCTTTCATCGAAGCACAACTGAGCAAATTCAAGTGTTTACCTGTACTGCTTTTAAGATCAAGATACCACACTCCAGGTTCCTTTCCTGTTAAATGAAACTCAAAGACTGCATTCACCTTCTGAATGAGCTTTTCATCAACAAAATTTGTAATGGCATCAAAAATATCTGCCACCTGTCTCAATTGAATCCCACGAGAGGCAGCTTTCCGGGTGTCCTTAGAGCCATTTCCTTGCAGTGTGGGAGAATAACCATCAATGAAACTGTCTGGCACAGGCGCACCAGCTGTAAGAAGAGTGAAACCTATTATTGACCAACACCTTCCATGATAGAACCAACCGATGACTCCCCCTAAATGGGATGATAGACAATTGTAGTATACCCACCCCTCCCCTTTTGTCAGGTTTCTCTGGACTGACAGTATGCTAATCCCCATTTATCATCCTGAGTGGAGAGAGGCTTAATGAGAGTTAAGATTCTGACCCGTAACATGATAATAATCCTGAGACAAAGACAATGACCCACTTGATCAGTTGTTCATAGTGTCTACATTGCATCTAAAATATTAACTGCATACAAGATGGAGGTTGAGATTCTAACAGAAATTCATGAGGTTACCTGGAATATAGGAATACTGTTCAAAGTCAGTGATTCCTGCCTCCTTGAGAACATCCTCATCATAGAGAAACTCCCCTGTCCTAGTTTTACTGTCCCTTGTCAACATGAAATATGCAGCATCAGCAAAAAACTTATCTATTCGACAGTACACTAAGCCTTGTTTCCCTGCAGTAACCATGACAGCAACAGTGGCAATACCTGTTAAATGGAGTAACCTGTTTATTTGAATGTCTGGTAGCAATACTCAAGTGTACTGTTACAGCTGTAAGCAATGACACATAAATATTTTCTTAGGACAGTAAATTTCAACATTTACACTTTTAATAAACATTTCAGACAGGGAACTGGACAATAATATTAGACAATCAAACCTTTGTTAGGCCACAGTGCATTAACTGCAATCCCATCATCCTTGAATTCTTGAGACATTCCAAGGACACACAATGACATTCCATATTTTGACAATGAATATGCTATAAAAAAAAACTCATGTGTAACTATCATAATTATGACAAAGATATTTTGGCAAGAATTTTACCATACATGTATATGTGTAGCAGTCTTGAAATAATTGGGATAAAGTAATTATCAGGGCTCAACACTGACGGTAGCCCACTAGCCACAGACTAGAAGAAATTAGGTTTTGGCTAGTGGCTTTTGGTTTCCAGCAGCCAGTTTGGCTAGTAAACGAACTGACATTGTTGTAGCATCTAAGATGTCACCAGCCACTTGGCTAGTAAGTCGAAAAGTTAGTGTTGAGCCTTGATTATAGATCTAGATAAAGAAACAAATGATAAAAGAAACATCCATTGTTTAGACCACAAGCCTTCTATTTCAGAAGACCAGCTATCAGATTACTAAAGATAACATCAACCAACAATTTTTGCTGTTCCCTCCTGCAATACAAAGTGTCTGTTCTCCATACACTTGTGTTGTGTGTGAGATGGAAATTAGGGTGTGATTTTACAGATGACACAGTGCAGTTGAACAACATGGCTAGCTGCCAAAAACAAACAAACATAGAAACTATAAAGAAGGCTGTCTACTTTTTCAATCAAACCCAATATTTCTGAAGAAGCAAGAAAGAGCTTCAAGTCTTAAAAAGATTTCAAGAAAATAAATTAGAAAACACACTATTGCAAATTCTTACCAATGTGTTCTTTGAACCAGGCATGTCTGATATTTAAAGGTGGTGTCACATTTAAAATGTGAGGATTCTCTGCTTTCTTTAAATAAGGAATAATTGCTTTGGAGCTAACAAACATAAATGCAACAATAAATTTAGTGTTTTCGTGCTAAAATGTTAAGTCTTGATGTACATCAGATTTCAGTGACAAGAAAACAGAACTAGACTAAGTGTTAAACTTGTCAACACTTACCACAAAAATGTCCCTCTTACATTGATATTATTCATTAGATCATATCTAAAGAAACAAGGTTGCATAGGATTCGTTAAAAGTGAAAAAAGTTAAGAAAAACTTTTAAAATAGTAATTAACCTGTGCATACACAATTAAAACAGACTACATTCAGAGTAGAATTAAGATAAACTGATACCTCCAAAAGGTATCTGTCTTCAACCAAAATTTAAAAAAATGTGCAATAGAAAAAATTGCAAATTGAACAAAGCCTCACTTTTTCACTGGCGTATCCAAGGTCCCTGTCAGGCTTATTGCACTAGCATTGTTAACAAGTATGTCAATCCCACCAAATGTCTTTACAGCCTCTTGTACAGCGCTGTTGACAGCATTTTCATCACGAATATCCACTGCACAGGGAAGGCACTTTCCTCCTGCCTCCTCAACTGTAGCAAGAAATAATGTTTTGGTGACATAACAATGTCGCGAAAACTATTTAAGTGTTTAAGATGATTGTAGGAGTCAGCACTAAAATCATGTCACCATGGCTACATTTTTAGGTGCTGATTTCGTTTTCTAGTGAGCACACATAGTATCAGGGAGCCAGACATTTGTGTGATTATGATCGTGACATCTGGTGCGTCACACTACTTGAAGAAGTCACGCAATCCTTTTAGTCAGTCATGATTTCCATAAAATCAAGAGTCATACAGCCACAACGTAAACAAAAGAATCACCTTCTTTTGCTGCGGTGTATATCGTTCCAGGCAGTTTTGGATGAGGTTCGGTGGTTTTAGCGGCGATAACAATATTTGCTCCATCTTGGGCAGCTTTTAATGCAATGGCCTTCCCAATTCCACGGCTTGCGCCGGTGATGAACAATGTTTTACCCGCTAATTTTCTGCCAAACAGAGAATGAACAATATCATAATGAACTGAAAACAAATATTAAACTAGGGAATCTTCCGATTTAACGAAGGCAGATTGGCAGTATTTTTTGTACGTTTAGCAAAACTTACCCACTGTTCTTCAACATATTTCAAATATTGAGCCTTCGAAGGGTACATTTTGCGGTTGGCTTTTAAAAACTAGCCTCGTTTCACTTCGCGATTTGGCGCCAAAATATCAAGATGGCGTTTGAATATGGAAGGAGTCAATACAAGAGGCAGAACCCCGTTGCTAACAACGATCCTGTGAATAAGAAATACAAGAAAACGGCTGAATTAAGAGAACTTGCTCTTCAAGATATTTCTAGTCTTACTAATGAGATTCAGCTTCTAGAGGAAGAAATATTCAAAAAAGATTCTTTATGTGCAGATACCTACCAACTCGAATATTTGGAGAAGATCGAAACGGAACTCTTAAATGCTGACTTGCCTTCATCATCCAAAGAAAATAATTCTGGCGAAGAAGAAAAAGAAATTTATGTAATAAACGGAAGACTACGTTCTTTAGCAAAGCTGACTGGTGTAAAACTTACCGAAAATAGCACCAAGATGCTTTCAAAGACAGATATAACGATGGTTTTGCTTCAGAGATTATCAGGAACTTGTCATAGAATCCCCTTTACAGTGGAATTCGAAGTTAAAGAAAAGGGAATTATGGATAGTCTGCTGAGCTCAAAAGGTAATATTTAGTCAATCGTGCATGGTATGGTTGAAGTTTATCTTTGGTTCCACTTTCTTTATGTTATTAAAATGTATAATTACAGTTTGAGACACAAGAAATGTTCCTTAGGAGAGATTTAATCAAAAAATATTTATCCGTTGTAGGCAGTATCCTTGGAAGATATCATAAGATTAAGCCTGATAAGGATACTGTAAGATAATAATTTGAACTCTGGACAATATGATTCGTTGTGGTTCAAAGTTTTTTTTTTGTTTCATAATTTAAGCCAGTTTGGTTTTTATTTTTCCTCTTTCCTACCTTGTTATTGTCTAAAAGATGAAGAAACTTTAAAATCAAACTGACTTAAAAAATAATGAGCAGACAAAATAAAAAAAATAAAAAGTCTTTATTCCATCAAAAGATAAAACTACATATCTAGTGTTACAATGAACTGGAAAAACTACAGAAATCTACATACCTATTATGAATTAAAAAGTATGTCATTACAATAAATGGAGCTTAAATATCAACCTATTTACAAAGGTGTTCATAAAGTGCAGTGTATTAATTTTTGGGCGCGCGTAGCCTTTTTTCCTAAGATTGTGTATATATGTCTTTTGGACAGGAATGATGTCTTTCAGGGGGTGGCAATCCGTTGATTTTAGTTTCTTCAAAATGTTTCGGTCTTGTTTGTTTAAAAAGTTCTTGATAAAAACTGGAAATGAGATAAAACCGCGTTTATGACATCGGTCTAAAAAACTTATTGCTACAACATATCTGTGACCAGGCTCACAATTGTGCATGACATGGCAATATTTTTTGTTCTAATTTTAGAATTACATCTTCAGAGACTATTTCCTCTGATAATCAAATTATCATACACACTGGATTTGCATCATAAACTTCCTTTAAGTCGCATCATCACACCTAACTATTTCCTATGATAACCAAATCATCCTAAACACAGGATTTAACAACTAAATTTCCTTTAGAATGATCACACCAAACTCCCAAAATTTTAAAGAATTTCCTGCTATTGTTCGATTCCTTATAAAAGAAGTACAGTCAGTTAGTTTAACTCAGTAGTTCAAGGTGTCAAGACCAGCACTTACAAGTTCAGAACCTCTTGGTCACAAAAAAGTAACTCCAGTACATGTAACCTCAAGTTAGTGGCCTATTTTACAGAGGATTTGCTAGCAATCACCCTTTCTTTTTTATCGGTATTATTTCTTTTGTACTTTCCTGTATAAATAAATTTTATTGTGACAATAAGTCTGTCTCGTTGTTCAAATAACAACATCAGAACCTGCCTCAGTCACATATCTATTGGCAATGATTGTACAGGTGATGTTAATCCTGAAGAGGGAGAACTCAATCAAAATTGAGTTTCTTTTATAAATATTCTCAAATATAATTTTTTTTATTCCATACTGTACAATTTACTCTCACGTTAAGTATTTTATTATGATAGCATTTTTTTTTTCAAAGATGCAGAGTGTTTAAAAGACAGGGTTGTTGAATTGACCAGACTCCGCGTGAGTGTTACAGATCATCTAGCTGAGCAGGAACTTGCTCAATTTCTGGAAAAGGTGCAAGAAGACAAGTCTTTGCAGCCATTTTTCTTTGGACTTATTCAGTACGCTGAGTGGCACAGCAATAGGCAAAGGACATTTGGTCATTTTAAAATGAAGTACCCTGAAATTGTCCACTTCTCAAATACATCTTCTACCAGTCAGTGTTTAAAATTGTACAACAGGAACAAACCTGGACTTGTTTTTACCTTATTGTGGAAACTTGTCATTGGTGAATCTGGTCATGTTACATCAGATGTTCAAATCCATGCCTCAGTGCCAGTGAAACATGCTGATCAAAGGGACAAATATTCATTGCTAAGAAATGTGCCAAAACAGTTTCACAAAGTGTTGCCTTTTCTTGGAATAGAACAGGCAGTTGAAGTGGTGATTGGAATGCTGTGTAGATAGTATTAATATTATTTATTACTTGTATTTTATACTGAGTTTCTCTGAATTTGCTCCTTTAGAGAACTTAGAAAGTCTTATCATCAAGTATTTCTACTTGTAAAAGAGGTTGTCACATTAGGAAAATTCCAGCAGCTCGAAATATGCAAAAACAGTTATGTGGAGACTAATTTTTAAGAACAAAGAGAAATTGTAGCGAATAGTTTGGGTACAACTGTAAAAAAAAAAAATCTTTGGAGTAGGTGGTAAAGGTTCTGTCTGTAAGAATCTCCATTTAAGATAAAAGTTGAACCCCTCCTTGAAGACATTTCTGGTTGATAGACTCCTTTTTGTAGAAACTTAGTCCTGGTGTTTATAACTCTTGCAACTTAAGCTTCCATGGGAAAGAGAGGGTCTGCTTTCAGGAGGTTTGGCTTTATTGAGCCTACCCACTTAGATTCAGACTTTTGTATTGTAATAAAAGTGACAGAAACCCAAGGAAAATAATTTTTTATAGGTAAACAAAACTTTGAACAACTCGACCATTTTCGAAGAAGAAAAGAAACAGACAAATAGATTTTCCCCAAATAACTTATAAATCAGTAAATGGCCACAGTCTGATAGTATGATAATCAATTATGTGACTTGCCACTACATACAGATATGACCAAAGGAGAATGATTAATATTTTTAAGAGTTAATTATTCTCAGTGTTATTATTTATCTAATTTATACATTGTGCAAGGCTGGTTTTTTTTTACTGGGAAGGAGAGGACTTTCCTTTGCAATGATCCTGTCGGTGATATCTATCTTTCTTACTAAATTTCCAGACCTATAAATTTAAAGAACCTGTGGTAAAGATGAGTCGTGCACTTGACATGAAGTTTGTATATAAAGATTACATAAGGATTTTTGAAGAACTGAAACTTAGTTATTTTATCGCTTGAGTAAAGGCTGATAGTTTCAAAAGTAACTTTGGGGCTGCGTCAGTGGGGGTAACAAAGTAATTTGGATATATCAACAAAGTTGAAATGGTAAATTGGCCACTGTAACGATTACAAAAGCTGACGTTTCGAGCGTTAGCCCTCAGCTTTTGTAATCGTTACAGTGGCCAATTTACCATTTCAACTTTGTTGATATATCCAAATTATTTTATCACTTGTCTCACATCATGGGTCGCATTCAATATATTAATTTGGAATATTTGATTCATTATTTAATTTTATTGCCCTGGAAAGCCCAGTGGAAAGGTTGTCAATAAAAGGGCTCTGTAATTCTTTACTTGTTAAATGTACTTTGACTCTGCAAACTACACCCCCCTCCCCCCCTGCCCTGAAGTCAGCTGTCACTAATTTACTATTCCAACTTAGGTGCTTGATTTCTCCAGTTTGCAGATGTTCAGGGTAAGTTAAGATAAGGAACAATTTTTAGTTCTTTATTAACACACTACAATGTTTGGATGAATGCAAATATAGTACAAGGATTTTCTTGGGAAGTCCTAGTGCAGGCGATTTTTCATGCTGTAAGCAGTACTATCCCCTCTTCTGAGTGAGTGAGTGGTGAGTGAGTGGTGAGTAAGCAGTACTATCCCCTCTTCTGAGTGAGTGAGGGTGAGTGGTTCTTAATCAAAATGTCCACACAATGAAATCAGCTCAAGCTAAACATTGTGTAGAGCAAAATACTTTCCCTCTGTTTCTAAGTAGTATTGACTGTCAACCCAGACCTGTCTCAGTAAGAAACTAGGAGTTGAGGATTTGACTGACCTTGGCAAAACTATTTCTGGAATTGCACATATTTTAAGAGACAATATTAGTGGAAAATTTCCTGACAGTCTGTTGGAACCGAAACTACTGTGAACATGGGGTGAATGAGGCCCTGGAACCACTTAAGACAGGAAGTGCTGAGAGAGCCACAGAAAACAGGAGGTGATGAGGGAACTGGAGCAACTGAAAACAAGAAGTGGTGAGGAAACTGGATCTGCTGAAAGCAGACGTGGTGAAAGAGCTGCACCCAACGAAATTGTGCAGCCATATTTGAAGGTCAACATATGCGTAGAACCTTAAGTATGATGTAATTACTAACATTTTGGTTACACTAAGTGTAATGCTGATTGTCGATTGTGTTTGACATTTACTTCTGCTTAGGTGTGGCACGCCTTTGTAGAGCCCGACTTTCCACTATCGTTGAAATATATCTACCTTTAGTAGGTTTAAAGCCAAAATATGACTCTGTAAACCTTTACGAATTAATCTACTAAGCAATTATGGGGTATAAATTATACTGACATCATAATAGCGAGAGTTTGTAAGGACTGATTGCTGTTGTGATAAGTTTGGTTTTGGTCCTTGATTGAAAATGAATTAACAAATAGATTCCAAGTTGGGTCTGTTCATTGATAGATTACAGATGACGACAACTTGTAACTTGCACTTTTTTTCCATATCTTGACCTCATCCGTAATCTTACAAAAAAGACCCGCGGTAAAATAGAGTCTACTTGTTAATTTCATATTTCATATCAAGGACCAAAAGCAAACCCTATTACTGTACAATCACCGCAACGGGGGTCTATTTGTTTTACATGATAAAAAAAAAGTAAAATGTTGTTAATGATGACGTAAACCATAGATCTGTCCTCAATCAGATCAGAACCAATCAAAATGCATATGTAACTCAGCCCATCACTTAAAGACTGACAAGTAACCACTCCCGAAGCCATTCTTTTTTTTTTTTTCAGTTTTTTCATTATTTCATAGTACAACGAAATAGGTGGATTCGTGCTGACGTCATTGTTTACATTTTTGCTTATTTGCATACGGCTTTGCGTAAAGAAGGAAGCATGTTAGATACAAATTGACTTCAGGCAGCTAAAGAGCTAGACAACCTCAGTACATGGTGAAATTTTTAGCTCTTTGGGTGTAATGCTCAAGGAGAAATAGTCCATCAAAAACTGCAAAATTTCTGGGTGGCAAAAGCGCTAATGAGCTCATACATTCTATGTAAAATTTTGAGTTTTTAAACCCGTGTTGCACAAAAAGTATTCAATGCATCAGGCTCGTATTCATTGGCCGAGTTAATCGTACTTTGACCTTTCGATATTCAGAACTGATTTATTTTTAGCTCCATCAGAAACTGAATTGCTTATGCTAATGAGGCAAATATTGTAAACAAGGATTCCCCTATA